TATATATATAAAATAAAAAAATTCTAACTTAATTCAAATTTTTACCTTCAGATGTAACGTTACGGCTTGGTCTTCTCCACAGCCTAAACATGCGTACTCTCCTGAGAGCGAACGAAATGAATAAGATAAAGATCAAAGTTAAAATGAAAACTATAATGATAATTTTAAAAACTCACATTGAGACCTACAAATACTTCTAATAATAAAATGTTATTGAAAAGAACTGTTTACCGTTTGTCAGCGACGGATCCATCAACGACCTTGTCCTAACATCTTACGTAACAGGGTTGACCAATGAATTCGCGTAGGGGGCGTGGTTTGCGCCCAACTGGTTTGGGGAAAAAAATCACGCGTCACGCGGATACGCGGCTCGTGCTAGTCGGAAGCATCACTTCGCGCACGCGCTCTGCGTCGGGGCAGTTCCATAGCAACCGTGAAGAACAACATGGTGAGTTCCCATCCTGTTTCTGCTTTTAATACACATTATTATGTGCTGTCACTGAGGGCAAAATGCATTGTTCTAAATTAGGAAATAAAGAGTTTGTTTTTATAATAAAACGACAACATCACGCTGGCTGGAAAAACAAGCTGCATCAGTGTTCATCGCTTGAGTCAGGCAGATAAACATTTACGTTAGCCACCTTGCTAGCTTATTAGCAGGTTAGGTTTTAAATGTGCAGAGGTTTTGGTTTATATTATCTCCATAATGTGGAGAGTATAGCCAGCTTAACATCTGTATTTTTAGTGAGCTGGATTTTAATAACACACAGTAGCATATTCGTAGAGATACAGAGAAAAAACATTTTATTATAATTTATTAGGCTCTTTAACTATATATTTTTTGCAACAAACATAATCTTACCTTGCTGTGAGTCATCATGAGTTTATTATGTGTGTTTTCAGGCAAAAGCAACAACTATTAAAGAGGCCCTGGTGAAATGGGTAAAACATTTTTTGCTAATTTAGTTTGTAGATGAGCTTTTCCAAGTTTTATCCCATTAAATATTCACAGTAAACATGTAAGCGCTGCTCTGTGTCAGTCAAATTATCTTAATTGATTTCACTTGGTTGTTTGAAGGAGGAGAAATCAGGTGAAAAAGCGAGCGAGGCCACAGCAGTGAAGCTTTATGGTCAGATCCCTCCCATTGAAAAAATGGATGCTTCTCTCTCAAATCTTGTCAACTGCGAGTGAGTCTAAATATACAAATACACATACATTTTCTTATAAACCAGCATCAATGTGTGTCAGATATAATAACTCTCTAATATATCTTCATTGTATGTTCTGTTCTGCCTAGGAGATTATCCTTGTCTACAAACTGTATTGAAAAAATTGCCAACTTGAATGGTCTAAGTAAGTACACCCCTCAAATGCATACATACCCGTCAAGTGCATTTGTCATGATTACTGAGCAGATTATTTACATTTTTCTCCTAGAGAACCTTAAGATATTGTCCTTGGGGCGGAATAACATCAAAAACCTTAATGGACTTGTAAGTAAAGTAACAGAACATTAAGGATAAGGTTAAGAAGTGGACTCCTCTTCTCTGTAACTCGTCCTCTTCTGTCCCCGACAGGAGGCAGTAGGTGATACTCTGGAGGAGCTGTGGATCTCTTATAACCTCATAGAAAAACTGAAGGGAATTCATGTCATGAAGAAACTCAAAGTCTTGTACATGTCTAACAACTTGGTCAAGGAGTGGGGTGAGCATGGAAGATAGATTACTGAGAGTCCAATAGCAGCTTAGCCAAGGTATGTCAATGATGAGCATTTTATGAGGCTGTTTGTTCCTTTAGGGGAGTTTCAGAAGCTGGCAGATCTTCCATCACTGGTAGACCTCGTCTTTGTGGGGAATCCATTAGAAGAGAAGTATTCTGCAGATGGCAACTGGATAGAGGAGGCTACTAAGAGGCTTCCCAAGCTTAAAAAGCTAGATGGTAAGCAGCCTATTTGCCCAATAATTAAACAATTAGTTAAACATGTAAAAAAAAAAAAAAAACCTTCATCAGGGCTCTACGCTTATTTTTCTTTTTAGGAGTGCTTGTGCTCCTAACTTAAAAAATTTAGGAGCACAGTCAAAAATTTGATAAAAAAATAGCCTTCCCATTACGAGGTGATATTTGACTCCTTAAAGTGATTTACAGTAGAATTACCTTTGTAATGGATTTTTTCTATCTTTATTAAAAGTATGTAATCTTTTGTCCAATTAAAAAAATATATATATTTTATAAGCTTTTTAAAAATTCTAGATAAAACCATATAATAAGAATAAGTTACTAATCAAATGAAATCAGTATTAAAATTAATTTGTACAGAGGTAGCACAAAAGTGGCTTGTAGGTGTATTTTCAGACATTTAATGAAGATCAGAGGTGGCATGAGTGCAATTAAATCCATACATTCATGTTTATTAATAAATTGAATGATTAATGTTTTAAAAAATGTTGAATATAGAAATATTAAATGATTTAAAGAACTGAAAAGATACTTTAAAAATGAAACTAAATCCGCCAGCAGGTGGCGACAAGTCACTGATTTGTTCACTGAATCATTCATTCAATTGATTCATTCGAACTGCTGAATCGTTCAGGAATGAAGCAAGTGACAGTATTTATGAATGGGGAATCATGAATCACTGACTCACTAGATTCGTTTAAAAGCGCAGTTCATTCATAAACGAAACACCGCTGTGTTTGAATGGAGACGCGCAGCGGCTGAGCTGTGACTGTTTGAAACTATTTTCGACGACGAAATAGAGCAAAATCAGACAATGTAAGTCACTTAATATTAACTTCTTGTCTATTGAACTGTTGTATTAAATCACTATCACATTTGCAAACTCCCTTAAAAATCATTAAACGCTGTCACTCATCTTAGCTCATCGCGAGCTCACATTTATAATCAACGAAGCTCTCTACACTGCGCATATTTACACCGTCTACACTTTGCTTATGAAAGGATTCATGAGATATGTCTGTGATACATTACTCAACGCTGCAAACACACGTACAAAGCTTTGAAGCTCCCCTCAGCGATCACAATCACAAGTATGATGATGATCGGGTCAGTCGCACTGGTGCTCCTAAATATGTTTTCATAGTCGCACGCAGTAGTTTTCAGTCGCACTGTAGAGCCCTGTTCATACAGACCATGGTTGCAAAAATGACCCTTGATGATTCCTCATAATTTTCGTTTTTAGGAAACCCCGTTATCAAACAAGAAGAGGAGGAAGGTGAAGGGGAGAGTTAATGCAATTCCTTTAAATATTCTAAAGTTGGTGCATTTTTATTGTTTAAACACCAGCATTTTATCTATTAGAAGTCTGTGCAATATTTGCATTTTTAGGTGTATTTATATGGAATAAGCTAAAAACCTAAATCCATTTTCTTGAGCTTTAACACTATTTAGATTTGAAAAGCACACACTTGATGCGTTTTGTTAGCCTTAGCACAAGCGGAAATATACAATCATAATGTTTGGGTCGTGCAGAAGGGCAGATTGGATGGTACTCATTACTTACACTGTAAAAAAAAATTGAATCTAACTTATGCTTAAATTATTTTGAAGAATTAATATGTAAACCTATAATAATTCATAATTTAACAACTTGATTCAGTGAAATAAGATCTTTGACTTGAATAACCAGTTAATTTCCATGTTACCACATGAAGGACATAATACAAGTTATGAAAGTTAATGACACAACTTTTCAGGGAGTTCAATAACTTGTTAGATTGTAACCGTAAATGCAAGCCAGTGACAGCAACTACAAAACTGGAATTATTGATCAAGTGTGTGACATAGGCTTTAACTGTTTTGTTTGGTGGTGCTATGTCTCTATTAGGAGGCTACTTTAAAAATTCTCTGTATTTGAAGTTCATTAATAATCGCAAGATTCAAATTCTAAATAGCATACTTTTTGTAATAAATTTGTTTGGACATAAGCAAATTCCTAATCTATTTGCAGTTATTCTGTTGTCATACAGTTCCATCACTAAGTGTATTGTTAACATATTATTATAAGGTTAAAGCAAGTTGCACAATGAGAGCAATTTAACACTTTGTAGCATGTCTCTATAGAGTAACATAAGTGTACTGTGGCCAAATAAAGACAACATAACTAATATTGTAATAAAAACGTTGTCTGACTTTCTTGTTAAAAAATTTATAAGTGTGATTTCAATTTTATAGTTAAGATTTTGAGCATGTTTTTGACCCCTCTACATCTTTTTGTTTACTGTGTTTCACAAGAAAAAATAAACTATTTTGTCCTCTGCTCAAGTTATGTTGTTATCATCTGTTATTATTACCATTGCTTTGAATTTCTGGTAAGACTTTACAATAAGGTATCATTTGTTAACATTAGTTAATGCATTAACATGGACTAAGAATGACCAATATATTTGTACAGCCTTTATTGTGCCCAACCTTTGTTAAAAATGTTCGGTTTAGTTCACAGTGCATTGATTAATGTTAATGGAATGTTGAAATTAAAATGAACTAAGATTAACAAATGGTTAATTGTCAGTTCATGCTAACTTATGTTAATAAACGAAACCTTATTGTAAAGTGTTACCGAAATGTGAGCGTTGAGTCGTGAACAGTAGGGGGCAGTAAAGTTCTTTAAAAAATGTTTTCTTAGATTTTTTTTCACTTCATTACTTGGTTATCATAAACGTTACATATTAACAAAATATGAGAAAATGTTGTTATTCTTTGCATTTGTATGACTATGCAACAAGGCGTTTGGTCGGTATTTACATGTTAGTGTATTTTCCAATGGAACTGCGGAATTTAGAAGGAGAGATTTCAGAATTCATTTCTTTATATTTAATATAAAACAACAGCATCATGGAGCGGAAAATAAAATGGACATACATGATCAATTAAATTAAATGTACAAAATAGATGATAAATCAAATATACAAAATAAATCATGAGTCCAGTCTATGGTAATACCAATAGCCAGTTCAGGCAGTATGACGGCTCGAAGTGGGCTGTCTACAATTTCTATTGGTCAGGATTGACGTCAATCATGTAGCGCGCCAAAAGCAACAACTAATCAAAACGGCGTAAATGTCACTCAACTCGGAAGTGTCTGTTGCCTGACGACCATCAACGTTGTAAACATACTACATGCAAAATGCCGCACGAAAAGAATGTTAAAGTGAAAGAAGTTATTACTTCTCTCTGTAAGTTACTGGCTGTGTTAAGCGTCGAGTCCATACCAACAGCTGAGGCATTCAGGAGAGCCAAATTCAACAGAAAAGATGCGGTAAGTTAATGGCACCTTAGTACTTTCATGGTAGCACTTCTCCCTCTTTAATTTGATTTAGGATAATTTGATAGAAGAGTCATCATTAGCTAGATAAACCCTGCTTAGTGTGCTCAAAACATGTTTTGCTTTCAGGCAGTGGATATGTGGAGTTTGCTAAGCAGGCTTTTGCAGAGAGCTTTTGCTCTGGATTGTGCGTGCCGGGACTCTAGAATCCAAGACTATGGTAAATTGATCATTGCCCATAACTGCTGTCCATGTGTGATACATAATTGTTTGTACGACCCACGGTGTTGTGCTTGCAGATATTCAGCTGCTGTTTGTCAGGAGTGCTCTGTGTTACTGTGGCTATGGGGCCCCGTGGGTGGTGGGGCCCTGGCCCCCCAGACACATAGAAGAGGTGGGGAGCCGAGATTTGCTCCTGGCGTTCGGCTGGGTGCTGTCATCAGGGAATCTGCTGGACTTCATGCTGGCTGAGAAGGTTCATCAATTAGACACACTCTCATCTGCACCATTGGTGAGACCTTGGGTTTTGGTGATCCAATCAAGGGACAGATTACTCATTTTATCAATTGCTTTCCTCTTGATGTTAAAAGGACCGTAAAAAGTAAAGTAAAAAGAAGTCAAGCTAGAATGTCAAGTGTTATTCTGTGTAAGGCCAGCAGAGAGCAGAATAACTTCATTTTATGCACAATGATGCTCATGGAAAGGACATTGAATTTCTACTAGTCCTAATTTTAAAAAAAAATGTGTTTTTGAAATCCTATCAGCAGCAGAACATTATGCATGACTGAGATACTAAACAGTTAACTTGTTGTTCCATTTGCTCTTGGCTGACTAATCTAATCGACTTTCTAATAAAAACCAATAATGAACAAAACACAATAAAAAAAATCCTGTTTGCTTTTAAGATCAATCTTAACGCTGTTTTGCTCTTTTTGAAAGTCTAATTGGTTAAATCCTTAAACTTTAATCTAATGGAGGCTGTTTCATCTGTTTCAGTAGTGGTGCTTGCTAAGACAAGCATCACTATTTCTCAAACCTAGGATTAATAATTATAATTATATACAGTAGATCAGCGTGCAACTTATCCTACTCTGTATGAGTCATGAGTAATACCCTAAATGCTTTGTGTTGAGGAGAAATATATGCTATTATGATTTTAAACATTCTAACTTGAAATTTGCACCTGGTTGTTGATAAAACAGTGAGAAAAAATACTCATTAGCTTACTTTAAAGGATTCATATATCATATCTAGAAACCAGAATATCAGAGACTTCAAGGTGGGCTCTTTTGTTTGGAGCAAGTATGCTATAAACAACCCAGAACACCATAGCAATGACACAGCAACACCCTGGCATTTATTGTATGTATAAATATTTGAGGCCATCACAGCCACTGATACAGAGCCTGTATCGCTCGAGTACGAGATTGATATTGCGTTTATACAACAGTTCGACGGAACGTGTGTAATTAAACAAGAAACAACGGAGTGCATATACTAGTATCATTAGTGTTATTAAGGATTTTATTAACACTAATGATACTAATATATGTATCATTAGAGTTAATAAAAACCTTATTGACCCCATTATAACAAAAAAGAAGCAAACTGAAGTTGGTAGAATAATACAAAATCTGTTATTTAATATCTACATTTGAAAATTTTTAATAGGTCTGAGTGTTGCATTGTTCTCAAAACGAGTGCTGCATAAATCTACTTCTGTTTGATGTATTTATGTATGTGCACAGACTACTGTTCAAAGGTTTGGAGCTGGTACATTAAAAAAAAATTAATGCTTTCATTTAGCAAGGATGTATTAAATTGGTCAAAAGAGACAAAGACATTTTAATGTTTCAGAAGATTTCTATTTCAAATAAATGCTCTTTTGAACTTTCTATTCATCAAGGAAACCCGCAAAATGCATCAATGTTTCTTAAAGCTGCAGTCTGTAACTTTTTTTGGGTAAAGGGGTCATATGATGCGATTTCAAATTTTCCTTTCTCTTTGGAAAGCTCTTGGTGCATAAATAAGATCTGTAAAGTTGCAAAGACTAAAGTCTCAAATCCAAAGAGATATTCTTTATAAAAGTTAAGAGCCAACCACGCCTACCTAAAACGACTCGTTCTAACACGCCCCCACATATCTACATCACTATGTGGGAAGATTTGCGTAACTCCGCCCAAATGTTCACACAAAGAAAGAAGGCGTAACTTTTATTCTCGCTGTAGTATTGTTGTTGCCACCGCCATGTCGTGAATGCGCTGTGTTTCGTTGTGAAAGCGAAACTACTTTGTTTGGTCTTCCAAAAGAGGACGATATCCGCTTCGTCATGCCTGGAGCTGATCCGTGCTGGTCGCTGAGGAAATACATCAACTTCGCGCTGTGGATCGCCGAATCGGCTTTCACCGTGGACGAAGCGGAGTCCATCCCGGGGTCATCACATGTGGTTGCCGCAAGCCCGCCGGACACTCCTTTGTTGAATCCGCCGACCGCGCCATTCTCAAGCCTGCCCGCCTCTGCTCACTCAAGCCGGCCTCCGCATGCTCTAGTCCGCCGGTCACTCTAGGCCTCCGGCCTCCACTCACTCAAGGCCGCGGTGTGTGACGCTGTTGTATTTACAACCCTGTTCCAGAACAGTTCAACCCAAATATTCAGATGTGTCCAGTGCATTTTATGGAGGACTGTTTCCTGATCCTGGTAGAGTAGACTACAATGCCGGCTGTTCTGACTCACTGTAAGTAAGTTTTTATATTTAAAGAATTTGCCACTGACAATTCAAACGATTGATTTTTTTGGGCAGTGTAGAGTAGCACTTGTTGTTTGTCATTTCTCCGATCACAAATGCAGACATGGTTTTATGTTTACGCGGCGTGATGCAACAAAACATGTAAAAAGACAGTAAAAATCATTATAATCCGTAATTATGTCCCCACTGGATGCAACAAATGCCTCGTTTATAATGGGTTTTATTGGTTTTGTCTCGTCGCACCGGGACACGGCATCACAGTATGGTAAGGGGCGTAACATTTCCGTCACTCGTTTGAGGTATTCGGCCAATCACCACGCACTGGTTAGCTGGCCAATCAGAGCACACCTCGCTTTTCAGACCGATGAGCTTTGTAAAGATTGACACGTTTCAGAAAGGCGGGGCATAAAGGAGAAACAATAATGTACAGTATGTGGAAAATAATGTGTTTTTTTAACCTTAAACCGCATAAACACATTTCATTACACTAAATACACAAAATAATGTTATTTTTAGCAGCATCATATGACCCTTTTAAAAATGATCCGAAATCAATATTTGAGCAAGTACATAACCAGCCAGTGTTCAAAACTATCGCCTTACTTTAGCCCGATTCACAACGGTTAGCTTATAATAATGTTTTCTAATTTGAGTGCTATGGGTAGGTTTTCGCGGGAAATTCGAGCATGGCACTGCGTCATTACATCACGCCTGTACACACAAAGAAGTTGTCCCGGCTACTAGGCTATCGCATGTGAGGATCCTGCAGGTGGAGGATCGTTAGCCTTTTCTCACAACAGCCAGAATAATTAAATGTATAATTTTGATGGCGGATTGTAATCCATAAAGGATTGTGTTTATGAAACCCATGTGAATGAAATTAAATTATATTCCAGTTATAAATGTGCTTCTGATTACAGATAGCCTGGCATTACAAAGATTTGTATTTTAAAGAAAGCCAGTTGGAAGGGAGCATAGTTTGCTTTTTGGGTTAAAAGAATTTCTTAATATTAAATTCGAAGAGTATGACAATTAGATTAGACTGTGCAGAAATTGAAATATACACGCTAATACACACTATACTCATAGTCACCAATGCTGTGGTTGTTAACATTAATCATTTGAGAATAAAGTATAACAATAATAATAATTTGAACGGTTTGATGTGATATGAGCTAACCGATCTTTGGATTTAATCACCATTGGTAGCGAGATTTATGGTAATGCTTTTTTCCTCAGTTGGTCAG